TTGCAAGTAATCTTTTTTTTTTATATAGGGATTGTGGTTGCAAAACAGATGCTAAACTAGAGTATAAGGGTGCAGCCAGACAGCGTTCTGAGAGTGGGTTAAACTGCTCCGGTTCTAACTGGATTATATTTGATCTGGATAATCGCAATCACACTTACCTCCCTTATCCCGCCTCATCGCGCAGTCACGTCGCTCCCCGGCGTCTACACTGTTGACGCACGGGAGCATGCATCGGCGGTTTTTAAATTTTTCTCAGTTTGCGCATGTGCATAGGTGCCCCTCCGTAGAATGGGGGGGCAACTATCATGGCGCATGCGCAGAACCACCAGGGCAAATCATTCCAACCCCTCCAACAAAAGACTTCCCTTTAAACGTTTGACCCGAAAATGGCCTCTGTGAGATCCCGAACTCATCTAAATGCTAAAACAAGTGACCGTTTAAATGTCAGTTTTCTAAACGCAGTGGCAGAGTGCCACCTATGCGCACACCGCCAACGCATTAAAAAAATGGCGGGCGAAAAGTGGACGCTTCGGGCAGCTTTTGAGCGGGGGTGGTGGTTTAAACCGGAAGTGGCTTGACACTGGAGGAGCGATCACACAGGGGGAAAATATGGCTTTAAACGGGAGAACTGAGAAAACACCACTTTGGGACCTGGTAACAAAATACTCCGGGTTAAAGCGGTTTTGAGCCGGAAACGAATGGCTGGGGACGGGAGGCAGATGTTGACTGTGTGATCGTGCAGATAAAATCCGTTGAAGCGTCACGACACCAGATCAAATGCATGTCTGAACGCACCCTAAAGGTGTTTTCATGAAAGAGACATATATGCCTTTGTGCCAAATGTGTATGTTGTTAATCCATCAGAATGCAAAAGTTAAATTTAAATTCCATTTGAGTAAATATAAGTTTTATTTTAGCATTAAAGACCAATCTAGGCACATGCCTTCCAGGTGAAAATGGCTTTAGACTGAGCCAGGCTTTATATTGACATAAACATTACAGGGGGTTAGGAAATTCCACTGCTGTGTGAGAATTGAAGTGTTCAGAAAATATGTTGTTGGAAGTTTAAATGTGGAAGAGTTACGAGAAGGATCTGAGACATCCTAAAGTATAAGAGAAAACTAAGCACAAAATAAGGAGCTTCGCCAGAGTGAGCGTCTATTGAAAAGGAGATTCTTAATAGAGAAGGATCTTGTGACCAAATACTGTGTTTGATACCCTGACAGCTAATTTTTCCAGTTTCTCTTCCCCTAAACAGTTATAGTGAACAACTTATTTGTGTTTAAAATTTTATTCAATAAATCACATTTTGTTTGAGTAAAAAAAGAAAAGTAATTCCACTTCGCAGCATGTGCCAAATTTCAAGGATGACCTATATTCTGCTAGGCAGTCAGATTCTACATATCACCCAGGAAGGACAACATCCTAGCTAAGGAATCTGTTCAACAATACTATGGAGGCCTAATAGTAGTGACTCTACTATGCAGGAATATCTTCCTTTATGGGAAACACTGGCTGAAATTTAACTGTCTACATGCCAGTGCTAAACTTGATTTGCTAGTCTTTATATGCTCCAAAAGTTGGCAATGTGCTATGTTGCTTACACTAATTTGGGTATGCAGAACTATTTGAGTTTCAGAGAAAATCTGTACTCCAGTCAATTGTACTTCAGTGGTAGCCATAGTATTTCAGGATAATCCTGGCTAATATAGCAGTTTTTAAGGGTTGGTTTACTTCACATTCTAAAGCTTTTGCAGGCAGATTGGGTAAGTAGGCCCATGTGTGCAGTTCTTTCTGCTTCTGTCAACATACGTGATACCAACATATAAATATACTGAGAGCGTAGCGAGTTCACCCAGTTCTTCTGCTTCAAAAAAGTAATGAATCAAAGAGTAGGGGTGGATGTCTTATTAATTATGATTGAAACAGGTCAAGATTACTGCTACAGTCCTGCTGATGTTTGTATCCTTTTGACACCTTGACAGTGTCCCAAGAACAGTCTTGCTCTGCTAGCAACCTGAGCATTACCCATTTGATGAGTGTGTCAATGGCCTACTACCATAATTGTACTATATGAGGCTCACGTGGAAAGACTAGTGACTACCAGGGGTCATTTCGTAGAAAAAGAGCTGCAGGAGCTCATTAGCATAACTTATTAGCATATGCCACCCACCCTGACATCACTGGAAGTGTGCACCAGCCCCTCTGACAGACAGAAGCACCTGGGATCCATTCTTTCCCCCCTCTCCCTTCCCTTCACCTCCAAGTCGGGCGAAGGAAAAGGGGAGGGGGAGGATCTCAGGC